AACACTGCACATATGATAATCTTTTTACCGCTTGAGGAAATGCCCAGAAACTTATTAGATGCAGACAGAAATAAAAAATATATCAGGACCCTCCCTCCCTCTCTCCCTTTCTTCCTTCCTTCCTTTCCCCTCACTCCCTCCCCTCATTTCTGATCCTTCATTCATCACTTGTTGACTTTTTTTTTAAATCCTCACCCAAGAACATTTTTCTATCTACAGATAGAGTGGGAGGGAGGGAGGGAAAGGGAGAGAGACACATTGACTGGTTGCCTCCCGCATGACCCCGACCAGGGCCAGGGCCGAACTGCAACTGAGGTACATGCCCTTGGCCGGAACTGAACCTGCAACTCTTTGGTCTGTGGGCCAATGCTCTAACCACTGAGCAACCGGCCAGGGCCGCTTGTTGATTTTTTAGTGTGTTCTCTTCAGTGTTGCATCTTCATTCTTCTTGAGAATTGTCTAATATTTAAAAGCACCGATCACTTCTTGTTTTAAACCTCCCCACTCCCTTTCCTTGTGTTCTCTGATGCTCTCCATTCACTCTGTGCCGTTTTTGTTCAGTTGTCCTCAGTATGGCTAAATATACCTGACGCTTAGCTCAAGACACTTGTGCTCTGCCCATATTCCCTCTTTTTAAGACTTCATCTATTTCACTTCCTCCTGGAAATCATTCCCAGCCTTGCATCCGTAAGCGTCTCTAGCGGGATGTTCCCCGGCCGCCTCCATGCAGCATCCTGTAATGGAATTCTCTTCACCACACGTGGACTCTTCGGGACGCCCCGCCTGCTGTGAGAGGCATCATGATTTCCACAGTTACTCATGCTCAGAACCAGGAAGTTGTGTGGATGCCTCATTCTTTCTGTCCCTTCATATCCCACAGGCTAAGTTCCTCCTTCGTAATGTCTGCTATATTTACCCCTTGCATTCCATCCTTACTGCTACCCCTCACGTGCAGGTCCTCCTTGGTTAGCCTTGACCACTACAAGCAGTCTTCTAACTTTTCTCCCCCCTCCCATGTCTCCCCATTGCAAACACACACGAATCTTCTCAAAACACTTCTCTGTATCTATCAACTACTTGTTCAAAAGCCTTTACAGCTGTCTATTCCTCGGATGAACCGAGGAATCATTCCTTAGCCTAGTCGGAGCATTCCATATTCTGTTTCCAACTTATTTTCTGCTTCTCTCCTACAAAACCTCCCCTTAGCTTATTGCTCTATTCAGTAGCCCTTGAACGTGCCTCAACCTTGAGTATTCTATTGTCTAAGCCCTATTTTTTCTTCAGGGTCAGTTAAAGTCCTAGTTCGAGTTCTAACTAATTAAATGCAAAACTGACTTTTCTTTCTTCTGACACCTCTTCTATCTTGTATTGCGGTTTTTCATTCATTAATTCAACACAACTCATTGGCCATTGGTCATGTGTCAAACTCTGTGCTAGACACAGGGGATACGAAGGTTAAGATATAGTTCCTAACCTTGAGGAGTTAATGATCTTGTCCAGACTGACCAATTAGAATATGAAATACTTGAGGGCAGAAACCATGTCTTATTCCTCTTTGTATTTCCAATACTCATTGGCATTTTCTACAGAATATATACATTATATGTATTTATTGCTGTTAACAGTGATGATAAGAGACAACTAGAGCTTCTTGTTCTAATAATAGGGAAGCAAGCTAGAGGCCAGCAAAATTTTACTTAATATATTTTACATAATTCTACTAGAAATTCAAAAAGGAACCTACAATTTGTCCTTCTGTTGGGTTTTTGTATTGTAGAAACTATTTTTTTTTTTTTATCCTCACCCGAGGACATTTTTCCATTTTTTGTTCACGTAGAGTGGGAGGGAGAGAGAGGAACAGAGAGAGAGAGAGAAACATCGATGTGAAAGGAACATATCGAGTGGCTGCCGACCAGGGCCGGGGACAAACTGCAACCGAGGTATGTGCCCTTAGCGGGAACCGAACCCAGGTCTCTCAGGACCGCAGGCCGACGCTCTAACCACTGAGCCAAACCGGCCAGGGCTGTAGAAACTATTTTTAGTCATACAGCTATACATGTTCTAAAAATTCTTAAGACATTTATTTATTTATTTTTATCCTCACCCGAGGACATTTTTCCATTTTTGTTCAGACAGAGTAGGAGGGAGGGAGAAAGAGAAAGAGGGAAAGAGAAAGAGAGAGAAACATCGACGTGAAAGGGACACATCAAGTGGCCGCCTCCTGCACAACCCCAACTGGGGCCAGGGACAAACTGCAACCAAGGTAAGTGCCCTTAGTGGGAACTGAAACCGGGACTCTCTGGACCGCGGGCTGATGCTCCAACCGCTGAGCCAAACTGGCCAGGGCAAGACTATTATTATTTAGATTGTTTTCTAGGATTGTACAGGGAGGTAAACTAACCTTTTTGGATAATTTGCAGAGTTAATTTAACTTTTCATTAATAAATTATATTTAGCACACTCACACTGAGAAATACACACATATAGATTATTATACAATAAACAAAAAAATTTATCACAAAAAATATACTGAAATCTCACTGGTGCAGTTGGTAGACCTGGCATAAAACCAGCAGGTATAATAATAATTAACTTTTATTAAGTGCTTACTAAAGTGACAGGTACCTTTTCAAGGAGAGAGAGAGAGAGAGAAAGAGAGAGAGAGAGAGAGAGAGGGAGAGAGAGAGAGAGAGAGAAAGAGAGCGAGAGAGAGAGAGAGAGAGCGCGCAGAATGTAACTGAATGGAAAATAAATAAGTTTTTCAAGATAACTATAGCCCCCATAACAAAGCATGGGAAATTTCAGAGTCCCTTCCTCTTGCCCCACTGGGACTTAACTCTCTGTCTCGTGTCTGGGTTTGGAAAAACAGAGGAAGACACGGTAACAGACAGGCTCATCATGAGCACACACAGCTGTCACCAGACCACTTTGTTTCCTGAAAGGTTGCTCACTGCACAGTGGCCTCTGAGAGGCAGGAGGAGCCACTGTTCAGCACCCTTACGGGAGCCCAGGACAGAACGGCCAGTGCCACATGTCAGGCGGCAGGCTTCAAGCTCCCTTTGACTCCTCTGTATGCCGGAGTGGCGGGTGGAGGTCAGAGGAGAGAGAGGAAAGTGGTTTGTGGAGCTGGGCTGATGCAGAGTTTTGGCTTCTGAGTCAAAGACAACAAAACAAAACAAAAACATGAGGATAACTGGAAAGAACAGGGACACCAGGAGGCGAGGCACCTGGACTAAACAGGAACCAGGTACAACTTTAAATATGTGCCTGTTTTGTGTGTTAACATCTGCAAACTGTGCCCATACTTACACTTTATACACAGTGTAATAAACTGTTACCTCCTCCAAACACCTAGTGTGGAAGGTAGAAATTATATTCCTTTCACAGAGAGAAGGACTTCTCATAATAACAAAACCAAAATGACTTCTAAAAAGTGCTGTAGATCTTTCCGATTTAAGGATGACTACATTTATACTGATGTGCATGAGATTTTTAACCTTGTGGGGAGGAAGTAAGTCAGAAAAACATTTCAAATGACTTTAAGCCCTAAGATCTTATGGGGGATTGTGCAGCCAATCTTAAAGTGCAGATCAAAATGGCTCTGGCCTCAAGTTTATGAATAGATGAGGTTTTAGGTTTAAGGAGAATGTGTGTTTGTGTCCTATGGATTTACAGAAACTAGTCCTCAAAAATAATCAACAAGGACAATCAATGGAGAGAACAGCACCACATCACAGAAATGTTCTCAAATAATGGTTTTTGGAAAAGTGTAACAACAATTCATATAATTTGTTACTTCTCTGATCACCATTATCTTCATCGACTTTTAACTTCCATAGGTAAAAAGAAAATTAAGAATACCAACGTTTTTTTCTTTGGTAGCCTTAGCCTTAGATAAAAATAAAAATGTGGCTGTGTTACAAGTAGACGTGCAGATTTGTGCGTGTCTCTGGAAGGGAGTTTGCTTGCTGGCCAGCTCAGTGTTTGACAAAGAAAAATGGGCTGCTCCTGCTTCTCGCACAAAGATGCACTGTTCCCAGAGCAGAGCAAAAAATGGAGAATTTGTGTTTAAGTTGAAAAGAAATTAAGATAATATCCAATGTGATAATATGCTTAGTATAAACTTCCTCTCCACTGATAAAGTGTGTGCCTTTTTAAAATGAAAAGTATAACTTTGTAATAAGAACTTAAAATACTGTTATCTGGAAATTCTAACAGCAAGCAAGACAGTCTACAGTTCATGTGTAGTATCGCATTATTAAAGACACAGTTCTGCTTTTTAACAACTCCGTGTTATCTATGCAGCTGCACAGTTACTCTTAAGTTTCTGAGAGAAGTGAGGCAAAGTGTCTGAGCTGTCGAGTCGCCTTGGTCCCTTCCACAGGGCTGCCATCTGGGCTTGTTTATTTGTGTCTCCAACTTTCTGGAACAGGGAGTTTCTCTGTTAGGGACCGGGCACCAAGCAAAGGAAGTGTCTTACAAAAGACTAACTTTTCTTCTTTTTTACTGTATGCTCAAATTTCAAGTTTAGTTTGGTCAAAAATATCCATTAAGTAGCACAATCACCACATGAAACATAGCTGGACACCTCAGAATTGGCTTAGCAAATACTCTTCCACACGATGTAGTTTTCCTCCAGGCTACCTCCTTGTGCCTCAGATGTTTTTCAAAACACAAACTGTCATTAAGGCTATAGCTATCTGGCCAGGAAATCAAACATTTTTCATGTACCCTTCTACAAATAAGCATTTGATTTAAAAATGAAGGACATATTTCTAAGCAGTTTTTCTAATTTTATAAAGTACACGTGAGTCATGTTATAAAAAATGAAGCAAACAAAATCTTTCAATATATAATTAAGAGACAAAGCATTGTTGTTTGATTATATAATCTGATTATGAAGAACACTTTAAAAATTCACAAACCAACACTTAAAAAAACTAGCAGTCCCTTATCTTTCAAACATTTCATTTAACAAATAAAATAGAAGGAAAAAGTACCTTGTAAAGTAAAATCCAGCAATACATATTCGTAAGCAAATTCTGTCTTTGTTTCCACTTGCGGTCTCTTCAGAGTAGAAAATATTTTTCCAGGGCTGCTATCATCAGGGTCTTCTAGCTTTCTAAGTCCGCACCCCATGGCAAAATCTGTAAGGAATTAAATTGCAGGACAGGGGAGGGAGAGCAGCAAATTCTGTTGTTTAAGCTGCAAAAAGAAAGTTATAGACTTAACTGCTTTGATTTTTTCAGCTAAACCATAGATACTCAAAAAGAAAACGTTTGAGTCCAAAGAAAGGAGCTGAAGACTTTTTCTATCCATTTTTCTGTACGGTGGTTGAGCCCATCACGATTGAGCTACAGCTCCCAGAGGCTGGGCTTGATCTTAGCAGAAACATGCAAGCTGCTACAATTTAGCGGAGAATTTCCATGCCACGTCAATTTACAGCCAGCCCCCTACCAGAGTTCTGTCGCTCAGGGCACCAACTGTGCTTTGTCTATTCCAGTTGGCTGGATGATAAAAAAAAGGTGTCCAAAAACAGAAATAAAAAGGCAAAAGTGCAGCTCAGATGGGAATATCTACAAAGCAGAGGATATATTCAGACACAGTGGCATGCGATTCTTTTTCTTTTTTCTCTTTTACCCTCTTTCCTGTGCCCACCCCCTCCTTCCTCCCCGCTACTACCAAGAAAGCAAAAGGAGGGAGGAAGGGAGGGACGGAGGGAGGGAGGAAGGGAGAGAGAGAGAGAGAGAGAGAGAGAGAGAGAGAGAGAGAGAGAGAGAGAAAAGGGATGAAAGAAATGTATTCTCAGCATGACTGGAAACAAAAATCATTTCCAGAACGGAAGTCAGCTTTATGAGGAAACTTTCTGGAGTCTTAAAGGAGAAAAATAAAGTTTTTAAAAAAGAAAACAAACACCTTAGTCTTTAGGTAGCACTTTTGAGGATTTCTTTCGACATTAAGTTTCTTTATGCTGGAAAATTACGAACTAATTAAAACTGCCAAATGAAAAAATACATTGAAATGTTTTAATAAAAAGACTTTAATTGCAAAGAAGAGACAGAATGTGGATAATTAGTTTTCCCAACATCCTTAAAGTTTAAAATACTATTAGAAGGCTTTTGACAGTAACTGGTAACACTCTGCAGCTCCCAAAGTATCCATTATTTATTTATTATTATTTTTTATCCTCACCCAAGGACATTTTCCCACTTTTGTTCAGATGGAGTGTGGGGTGTGTGGAGAAACATCAACGTGAAAAGGACACATCGAGTGGCCGCCTCCCACACAACCAGGGTCGGGGACAAACCACAACCGAGGTATGTGCCCTTGACCAGAATTGAACCTGCGACTCATTGGTCCTTGGGCTGATGCTCTAACCACTGAGCCAGATGGGCCAGGGCAGTATCCGTAATTTGAAAAACATGCACAACAAAACTTGACAACTTGATTCATTTAGTGTTATAAATTGCCATTTACTTGAAGTCAAGAATAATTTATGATGGACCAATTGTAATGAGTGTTTATTGCATTTTACCATTTATAGGTCAGATGGTGTGATGCATTTATCAACACTGAGAGTCCTGGAATCAGATGGCTTGGGTTCAATTCTACTTCTAATACCTGCTAGAGACAAGATCTTGGGCAAGTTACTTGACCTCTTCAAGTTTCAATTTCCTCCCCTCTAAAATGGAGTTAATAATAGTACTCCATAGGCTTGTTATGAAGGTTGAATGAGATAATCTTATCTTACATCCTAACACTATGCCTGCCTAATAGCACAAAATAAATTTGCTAATGTGCTTACACTATAAAATAGGGTTGAGAGTAGTAACAGGAAGGAAGTGATTCTACTACCACTCCAATTATTTACAAAATAAACCCTGATCACATTTCAGATTCTAGGGGACACAAGTCTGAAAAGATTTTTTTCAGTCATGTTGAAGAGTGCCCATGCAAACTCTCAAAGTGGGGAATGGACTGGTTTGTAGATCACTATGGCCTCTTGTCTCTTCCTTCTGCCTACTTGTCTTTAGTTTTACTGCTCAGAAGTGTTTTTAACAGAAGATTCCATAGTCCTTCATTTTCAAAGATGAGCATGGTTCATGGTAAGCAATTTATGGGTAAATTAGGCTAAAAAGACAGCAGCCTCTGACCCAGTATGACTTGTTTGACTTGTTCTCTTTTGTATGATGGGCTATGAGCCCCCAGATGGTAGAATATGGAATATTTGAAGTCCACTAGTTTTTATTGCAGCGCCTAAAGATTATTTATTAAATACTTACTATATATTAGATGTCTGCTATCTTCCAGGCACTGAACTAGATGCAGGCTGGGTATACAAGATGACTAAACATGCCCTGAAGAAAGTTATGGTTTAATGGGGAAGGCAGGCTTATAAGCAGATAATTTTGATTTGGTAGCTGCTGAGATATAGCATGCGTGGGATGTTATAGAACCCAAGAAGAGACCTCCAACTCAGCTTGGAGGATGACATGTGAACTGTCTTGAATTATGAATAGATGCAAGATAGATAAAGAGAGGTGGGAAGTGCCCTGGCAGGGTAGCTCAGTTGGTTAGAGTGTCATCCTGATTCACCAAGATTTCGGGTTCAATCTTCAGTCAGGGCACATATAAGAAGCAACCTATGTATGCATAAATAAGTGGAACAACAAATCGACATTTTTTTTCTCTCTCTCTCCCTCAAATTGGAAAAAAAAAAAAAAGGTGGGAAGCATGTGTCAGGAAAAGGGAAAAGCATGAACAATATCACAGAATCATGAAATGGTATAGCATACACCTGAAGGAACATAAAGCAGTTAAAAAGTACTAGAACAGCCCTGGCCGGTTAGGCCCAGCGGTTAGAGCGTCCACCCGAGGACCAATGAGTCACAGGTTCAATTCTGGTCACGGGCACATACTTCGGTTGTGATTTTTTCCTGGCCCTGATTGGGGTTGTGCAGGAGGCTGCCACTTGATGTGTCCCTTTCACGTTGATGTTTCTCTCCTCTCTCTCCCTCCCACTCTATCTGAACAAAAATGGAAAAATGTCCTTGAGTAAGGATAAAAAAAATTACTAGAACATAAAATCTGAAAGAAGACTAAGCTGTAAGGGACGCAAGAGCTAACTTGTAATGAGTCATATGCCATACAAAGGGAATTGGGACTTTATTTTATAGGCAACAAAGTAGAATCAAATGATCAAATAAAAAGAAAATCAAAGGAGAAGTTTGAATTAGGCAAGTAACATCAGTTTGTATTTTCCATGAGTCACTAAGGTTGCTTTGAGGAAGATGGTCTTAATCGGAGCAAGAATGCAGGGAGACCAGTCCATCAGGAGAGTATTGCAGAAGTCTGGTTGATACCTGATGACTGAACTTCCACTCATTATGCCTCTTTAGTGTGAAAAGACCAGATACTAATTCCTAGATGACATTGGCAAAATATCAACCAATAAAGGAATAGTACTAATAATATATAAAAAAATTCTGCTGCCCTGGCTGGTTTGGCTCAGCGGTTAGAGTGTCGGCCTGCGGTCTGGAGAGATCTGGGTTCAGTTCCTGCTAAGGGCATGTGCCTTGGTTGCAGTTTGTCCCTGGCCCTGGTTGGGTCGTGTGGGTGGTGGCCACTTGTTGTGTCCCTTTCATGTCGATGTTTCTCTCTCTCTCTCTCCCTTCCACTCTATCTGAACAAAAAATGGAAAAGTGTCCTTGGATGAGGATAAAAAATAAAAAATAATAAAAAATAAATACAAAATTATATATAAAAAAAGAACTTCTGTAAATAAATAAAAAGACAAGCCAATAGAAAGGTAGACACAAAATATATATAGGCACTTCAGAGGCAAAGAAACATATACAGTTAATAAATATATGAAGTGATGGCTCAACTTCACTTCTATTTAAGGAAATGCAAATCAAGACCACAGTGAGATAACATTTTATTATCATAAGATACACATAATATAAAATTTACCATTTTAACCATTTTAAAGTATACAATTCAGGCATTAAGTACATTCACAATATTGTACAATGATCACTATCTAGTTCCAGAACGTTTTGATCACTGTAAGAGGAAAACCCGTATCTTTTAAGCATTCACTCCTCATTCCAACTTTCTCCTACATCATGGCAACCACTAATCTCCTTTCTGTTTCTATTCTGGATATTTCATACAAATGGAACCTACAATATGTGGTCTTCTGTGTCTGGTTTCCTTCATTTAGCATAATGCTTTAAAGGTCTATGTGGTGGTATGTATCAATCAATACTCCATTCCTTTTTATGGCTGAATAATATTCCATTGTATGGCTATACTACATTTGATTATCTATTCATCAGATGAAAGACATTTTGGGTTGTTTCCACCTTTTAGCTACTGTGAATATTACTTCCACGAATGTTAGCGAGATAGCATTTTACATTTGTTTGACAAAAAAATTAAGAAGTAGATAATACCTAAGTATTAGAGAGGCCTCGTTAAGGGTGTGTCACTGATGGGGATGTAAATTTGTTCAACCATGTGGGAAAACAACTTGACATTATCTTTCTTTTTTTTTGTCCTCACCCGAGGACATTCTTCCATTTTTTGTTCAGGTAGAGTGGGAGGGAGAGAGAGGAACAGAGAGAGAGAGAAACATCGATGTGAAAGGAACACATCGAGTGGCTGCCACCCGCACGACTGACCAGAGCCGGGGACAAACTCCAACCTAGGCACGTGCCCTTAGTGGGAACTGAACCCGGGTCTCTCAGGACCGCAGGCCGATGCTTTAACCGCTGAGCCAAACCGGCCAGGGCTTGACATTATCTTTCAAAATGGAACTTTCACATCCTCTATGATCCAGCAATATCACTTCTAGATATATATCCAAGACAAACTTTAGCATATAAGTACTTGAAAATATACATGAGATAGTTGCAGTAGTGTTCCTAAGATGAAACATTTGAACCACTCAAATGACTATAGTATTTAAATAGATAAAATAAAACAAGATGGCTAGTCATTGACCAAAGATGAGAGCATGCAATGACGCAAGGATTAACATTCATCCAATTCTGGGCTCCTGAAGCATCCCCTCCAACAGAGCTAGAGCTCCTTTAATAAAAGCAAACTTGAAAAACTGCTCTAAGATGAACACCAAGACCATTTTAAAAGAAAATTACTACTTTGTGAAATAAATTGGAAGACTGATACTTCCTTATGTGCACAGTGACAATATTACATTCCACCTCCCTCGAGCTAAATAATCGTTGGCAAAGGCTTAATACATGACAAATCTACCTTTTTTGTTGATTCAACAAATATTGAGCGTGTTCAAATATTCTTCCCTCAGGTGCTCTAGGTAATTATTTTTCTTCCTTCCTCCTCCACCCCCCCTTCCCAGGTGTGTCCACTGGGTTCTGAGATAAAATTGAGATGTTTCAGAGCCCTGGGCCAGCCAGGGCCCAGCAGAGGGCACACTCTGTGCCCTGCCATGTGCCAGCCACTGATTGGAGTCTGAGAAATGCCCAAATACAGAACTCTCGCCCACAAGCCGTTCAGCCTAGAGAGGAAAACAGATCCATAATATAAAAGTACAACCCAAACTAGAGCAGTTAGGAAGCTTTAGAAAGATAAAGATTTGCCCGCTCTCATTACCCCCACCCCATCAAGCCCAGTTCCTCTGAGAGGTTCTCAACCTGAGGGTCCCAACCCCCTTTGGGGGGGTCTAACGACCCTTTCACAGGGGTCCCCTAAGACCATCGGAAAACACATTTCCGAGGGCGATTCATAACAGTAGCAAAATTATAGTTATGAAGTAGAAATGAAAATAATGTTATAGTTGGGACTCATCACAACGTGAGGAACTATATTAAAGGGTTAGGGCATTAGGAAGGTTGAGAAACACTTAGGCTAGGCCATGTCCCTCTGGCGCCTCTGCAAGTCATAACCAGAAGCCCAAGGTCCGAGGTCCCGGGAGAGCGGAGCGCTTGATGGGCGGCGAGGGGCGGGCCCTCCGGCCGGAAGCGGCGGTTAGGCCGGGCTGCGCATGCGCGCTGCACACGTGCTGCCAGAACGCCCCTCTGCCGGTTGGGCCCGGTCTGCATCATGCTGCGAATTTCTGCCTTGCGGCTGCTGGCGGGCCCACGGGCGAGCGGGCTCTGGCTCCTGCAGCACTCCAACCCACGCCTCTACGGTTCCGGCCCTCTGGGTGCCCGCGACGATATTCACGACGCGCGCGCTTACTTCACGACACCCATTTTCTATGTGAACGCGGCGCCGCACATTGGGCACCTGTACTCCGCGCTGCTGGCGGACGCTCTGTGCCGCCACCATCGCCTCCGCCTTCCCAGAGCCGGCGCCACGCGCTTCTCCACTGGTACAGACGAACACGGCCTGAAGATTCAGCAGGCAGCGGCCGCCGCGGGCCTGGCCCCGACTGAGCTGTGCGACCGAGTCTCGGCCCAGTTCCAGCAGCTTTTCCGGGATGCGGGCATCTCCTCCACCGACTTCATCCGCACCACCGAGGCCCGGCACCGGAGCGCAGTGCAGCACTTCTGGGGAGCGCTGAAGGCTCGGGGTCTGCTCTACAAGGGGCTCTATGAAGGTTGGTATTGCGCCTCCGACGAGTGCTTCCTGCCGGAGACCAAGGTCACCCAGCAGCCGGGCCCGTCGGGGGATTCGTGTCCTGTGTCTCTAGAAAGCGGGCATCCCGTCTCCTGGACCAAGGAAGAAAACTACATTTTCAGGCTTTCCCAGTTCCGGGAGCCGCTCCAGCAGTGGCTGCGGGACAACCCTCAGGTGATCATCCCCGAGCCATTCCATCACACCGTCCTTCAGTGGCTAGAGGAGGAGCTGCCGGACCTGTCAGTCTCTCGCAGGAGTAGTCACTTGCACTGGGGCATTCCGGTGCCCGGGGACGATTCGCAGACCATCTACGTATGGCTGGATGCCTTGGTCAACTACCTTACTGTAATCGGCTACCCAAATGCTGAGTTCAAGTCATGGTGGCCTGCTACCTCTCATATCATAGGCAAGGACATCCTCAAGTTCCATGCTATCTATTGGCCTGCCCTCCTCTTAGGGGCCGGCATGAGCCCACCATACCGCATCTTTGTCCACTCCCACTGGACTGTCTGTGGCCAAAAGATGTCTAAGAGCCTGGGCAATGTGGTGGATCCCAGAACTTGCCTTGACCGCTATACTGTGGATGGTTTCCGCTACTTTCTTCTCCGTCAGGGCGTCCCCAACTGGGACTGTGATTACTATGATGAAAAGGTGGTTAAGTTACTAGACTCTGAGCTGGCAGATGCTTTGGGAGGTCTCTTGAACCGATGCACTGCTAATAGAATAAATCCTTTTGGGACCTATCCGACCTTCTGCACCACCTGTTTTCCCAGTGAGCCAGGGTTGGGGGGGCCATCAGTTCGTGCCCGGGCAGAGGACTATGCCCTGGTGAGTGCAGTGGCCACTTTGCCCAAGCAGGTAGCAGACCACTATGCTAACTTTCAGATCTATAAGGCTCTGGAGGCAGTGTCCAGCTGTGTCCGGCAAACTAACGGTTTTGTCCAAAGACACGCACCATGGAAGTTGAACTGGGAGAGCCCAGTGGATGCTCCCTGGTTGGGTACTGTGCTTCATGTGGCCTTGGAATGTTTGCGAGTCTTTGGAACTTTGCTCCAGCCTGTCACCCCAAGCCTAGCTGACAAGCTGCTGTCCAGGTTGGGGGTGACTGACACAGAGAGGGGCCTTGGAGAGCTCTATTTCTTGCCTCGATTCTATGGACACCCTTGCCCTTTTGAAGGGAGGAGGCTGGGACCTGAAACTGGGCTCTTATTTCCACGACTGGACCAGTCCAGGGCCTGGCTGGTGAAGGCCCATAGGACCTAGACACTCAGTTTGTATGGTTTGTGGCTTGTGGTAAAGAAGCAAATGTATTATTTTCTTATTTTGTATTTTCAGGAAAGTTAATAATGTTTTCTGAAGTGTTGCATCAAATGAGCACATAAGCAATATCCCTGTGAAAAGAGGTTTAAAACCTTTCAGGTGTCTACCCGACTCTTCAGTTCTCTGTGTCCATTAACCACTGTCCTTTGCACTCCAGTGTCTCTAAGATGTCTCTAGGGGTAAGATGGGTAAGAGACAACTTTGCTGATACTATTCCTTCTTATTGTGCCTCATTCCAAACCACAGTTAGTTTATTTGCCCAGATTACCTCTCATGGCTTGTTTTTCATTGGCCTGGCCTCAAATTAGAGTGGGGATTGGAGGCCCCCTACCTCAACTTTTAGCCCTCCTTTGTCATATATGTTGGGTCTCCTGTTAAAAAGATTATTATTATTATTTTTTATTTATTTTTATTTTTTATTTTTTATCCTCACGAGAGGACATTTTTTCCATCTTTTTGTTCAGGTAGAGTGGGAGGGAGAGAGAGGAACAAAGAGAGAGAGAGAGAAACATCGATGTGAAAGGGACACATCGAGTGGCTGCACCCGCACGACCAACCAGGGCCGGGGACAAACTGCAACCGAGGTACATGCCCTTAGCGGGAACCGAACCCGGGTCTCTCTGGACCGCAGGCCGACGCTTAAAAAGAGATTATTTTATTAAATATTTAAAAATCAGTGTTTTAGACTAGATGATTTTTACCAATGTTTATATTTCCAGTTCTTACAACCATGACTCCCTATACTTTGTTAGCTAATAAGCCAATAGTTGTACTTGTAACATTACACTTCAACCAGTAGATGGCTCTAGGCTCACATATCAAATTAACATTGAGGTTTCAGAATCTTTAAAATACGTGTTTTCTGCTTTCTAATTTTGCAGAGTTTAAAGAAAATTTGTATTGCTTTTCTTGAAATGAGGGATAACTGCAACCACTGCTATTTTATAGAAAGCAATATAAAGAATCAGAATCCTCAGTTTTCTTTAGACTACTGAAAAAGGGCATTTACTCTAAATGTTTAGTAAGCTAATAAGTAAATGTATTGTTTGGACTATCCATGATAAATTGTAAAGCTCTCTTGAGGTACTTGGTATGTTAAATATTTTAAACCTTAATAACAGATTTAGAGGTATGATTAAAAAAAATCTATAAATTATTCAAAAGGGCAGTATTTTCTTAGTCTTAATTTTGTTATTCACATAATTTACCTTATCTGACTTCTTTTGGTCAATCAGGATCTATAATACAATATAGAAATTGTAGAATAGTTATTATAAATGTTTATTTACTTTTTTTTTCTTAACCCCCCGGGAGGATATTTTTCCATTTATCTTCAGAGAGAGTGGAAGGGAGAGAGAGAGAAACATTGATGAGAGAAACATCGAAACATCGACATGAGAGGACACATCAACTAGTTGCCTCCCTTATGGCCCTGACCAGGGCTGGAGAATGAACCAAAACTGAGGTACATGCCCCCGACTGGAATCGAACCTGTGACTCTTTGGTCTGTGGGCCAGTGCTCTAACAACTGAGCCAAACCAGCCAGGGCAATATATATTTACTTTTAAGTGGTTTTTACTGATTTCTTTTGCTTTTTAAACTTAAGTTATTAAAGTTTAAAAGTTTGTAAGTACCTTATTCAGCTATGTACTGTTGCATTTATTGAAGGTGATGGTGAAGGGAGGAAATGATCAGTGCTCCAAGAATCTCAAACTGGATTTAGGGATTTCTCCAAGGCTCCATAAGAACATCACAGAGAAGATGTAAGATCAATTTATACAATGACTACAACACAGTAAGCCAGCATTACATCTGATAAGTGATGGATTGGACAGCTAGGCCAAAGTTTAAAATGAAAAATTGCCTTGAAATATCCATTCTACATATGGTAGCAAGCAGAGAGGGCTCACTATGAAGTAAACTATTAGGCTTCTAGTTCCCCCAGACTTATTTAGCTCCAGTTTCCATTGAAAGATTTGTTTGCTTGGAAACACTGCTTAAAAAGGAATGCTCAAAGGCATTCTAAAGGTGGAAGGACTGTTTCTACAAATGTTCCTTCAGACCCTCCTTATTCGTTATAGTGGAATCCTGGCCTTTCCATATGACATATACCAATTACCTGCTGGGATTATTAGGGCAGATTACCAGGGCCTAGGATTGCGTATATCTCCTAGGTCTGCATAGAGCAGAGTAGTGAAAGACATGGGATGTGTTTACATGGGTGAAGGAAAACTGGGAAGACCAGTGGAATGATAATCTGCTTTTGAAGTGCCCTACAGGCAGTCTTAGAGTTCCTATCATGAATGGAGAGACAGTGTCTTCCCCTTGACTGAGCTTTCCTATGGCCAAGGGCTGGTCATTACATGGGACCTTTGCTTGATGGGTGTTAATGGAGTTCCTTTTGTATAGTCTGTCATTTGTGCAGGCAGTTAACTGTACCAGAATATTTGTGGTACTTTAGGGCATGAGAAAATAGGGGATTCAAAGAGGAAAGGGCATAATTATTATAGAGGACGATACACACACACACACTTTAAATATGTTTTTATTGCTTTTTTTTTTTTTATCCTCACCTGAGGATATTTTTCCATTTTTTTGTACAGATAGAGTGGGAGGGAGAGAGAGGAAGGGAGAGACAGAGAGAGAAACATCGACGTGAAGGGACACATCGAGTGGCCGCCACCTGCACGACCAACCAGGGCCGCGGACAAACTGCAACCGAAGTACGTGCCCTTAGCGGGAACCGAACCCGGGTCTCTCTGGACCCCAGGCCGACACTCTAACCGCTGAGCCAAACTGGCCAGGGCTTTATTGCTATTTTTTAGAGAGGAAGGGAGAGGGAGAGAGAAACATTGTTGTGAAATAGAAACATTGATCAGCTGCCTCCTGCATGCTCCCTACTGGGGATCGAGCCTGCCACCTGGGCATGTGCCCTGACCGGGAACAGAACTGGGACCTCTCAGTCCATGGGACGATGTTCAATCCAGTGAGCCACACCGGCCAGGTGAAGACAAGATACTTTGAATGAAATGGTGTGGTAAGTTGGATCTGACTCATTTCTGTGGTGATAGGGTAGATGCACAGGTTGATTCTCTGTAGGAGGTAAAGCAAATATCCTTTGGGTACTGGATGTATTCAATTTGATGCAGCATTTTAAGAATGGCAAATGGAGAATAGGTAAAACTTAAAACTGGAGGGCATACACTTCCAAGAGGGCATCCTAACCACTTTTGGGAGATGAAAACTTGTAAACATTTAAGAGTCCCCCCTACTCCAGAACTGTTAACACCTTATTTGGCATCTTTGGATTCCTTGACCGGAAAGGTTGCTCTCAAATACTACTCCTGAAGCTCTCAATTTTCATTTTAGGTTATTCTTGGAGACAGTGTTGCAGGACGTTATGATACAGCATTGACCAGGTGTTCACAGGATGTCTGTTATAGAATAACAAGCTGGCAACTCAGTAGACTATAGTCCTATCTATGAAGTCATATAAGAAGTTGTGGGTGCCCAGCTGGTGTGACTCAGTGGATTGAGCATTGTCCCATGGACTGAGAGGTCCTGGTTTGATTCCTGGTCAGGACACATACCCAGGTTGCAGGCTTGAGCCCCAGTGTGGGGTGTGCAGGAAGCAGCCATTCGATGTTTCTCTCACATCAATGTTTCTAGCTCTTGCCCCCTTACCCTCTCTCTAAAAAAATCAAAAACATAAAAAAAAAGAAGTTATGGGCAGTGTACAGTATCTGTTAAGTGGCACCATTTTATATTAGAGGTATTCCACAAGTGAACTCATGGATTAGGTACCTCTGAAGTCAGAAGACCTGTGACTATATGGAGGTCAAGGATAAACAGGAACAAGAAATAAATATAATCTGATTTCACTGAAATCTGTTATTCTAGAAATAGGCCTCATCATTTTTCTTAAGGACCTGTGTGACTATAGGGGTTGAGAAGAGCCTGATAAATTGACTATTAAGTTGATGCTAAAGTACTCAAATGGCCTGGGCTGAAACATGGGCTCTGAGGCACAGGCCACTTTTTTTTTCTCTTTTTATCCTCACCCAAGGACATTTTTGCACGTATCTTCAGATAGAGCAGGAGGGAGAGAGAAACATCCATGTGAGAGAGACATATCAAGTGGTAGCCACCCACACGACCCCAACTGGGGCAGGGACAAACTGCAACTGAGGTATGTGCCCTCAGTGGGAACCGAACCTGGGCCTCTGGTCTGCAGGCTGATGCTCTAACCGCTGAGCAAACCGGTCAGGGTCCACTTTTTTTTGCAGTTGTACTAGCTCTTTAGATTTGGGAAATTCTAAAATCGAAGCCAGTATTTGGTCAGGTTGTGAGGCTCCAACTAGAATGACTTACAATCATAGTGACTTGGGCAGCATGTGGCAATACCAAGCATTCAACAGATTCTTCCATGTGCATTGTAGTAGGGATGGTTTCCGGGGACTCTGCCTGACCCCTCGTAAGTATAGTTGCATTGTTGGCCTGCATTAGTATAACCTTGAGTTATGGGGGAAGTAATGCCTCTTGACTAAGATTTGGTCCATAAAGCTGCTGTATGATAATCTATAATTGCCTCCTGGAGGCAATGCTTCCAGAGTTCTACTGGATATAGAACTGTTCTTGTTGGTGAGGTCTGGGCTGCTATAAACCTTAGTGGGTCCTTGCCCTCTTTTGCCAGAGTAAATAATATCAATGGACCTGAAAGGGTGTGCACATACCGTCAGCCAAGTGTCTATTTTTGCAGCAAAGGTTTACTAGTTCAGAGAGCTTGTGGGGAGCTAGGGCACAGGTTAGGGGGTCAGTCTAGAAGAAAGCCTTTGAGTCCTTTGCAAAACTAATAGTATCCAATATGTCATTTTAGCACAACACAGCTAGTCCTGTCCCTTCCTCTAAGGAACTTAGGATCGCATTGGTTAACACCAAATTTGGAGGTTAATATTGCTGGAAGAGCCAGAACATTAACAACCAAGTTAATTAGGGTTAATTAGTAGGGATTTTAACTTTTCAAGAAAAGTGTCTTATTCTTTTCTGAGATAAAGGATAAAAGAAGCCCAGCCTAAGCTGCTTTCCTCTAGGGTACTAACCCACTTGGAGGTGAAATGGACTCTTCTTTTGTGTTTAGGTAGTCCTGGATTACCCAGTATAGATCCTCTGAATTAAGGAAACCATCTAATAGAAATTGTTGGCCACATTTTAAAAAACCCTGCTTAAGATGATATCAGATCATTCAGTTTTTACATTTTCATGATGAGGAAAGGGAATTGAGAATAGCTACCTGCCAAGATCTTTTAATGCCTTGACAGCTAGAAATAATATACTCTCTCTTTTTTTTTTATCCTCACCTGCGGACACTTTTCCATATTTTGTTCAGATAGAGTGAGGGGGTGGGAGGGGGGAGAGAGAGAGAGAGAGAGAGAGAGAGAGAGAGAGAGAGAAACATCGACATGAAAGAGAAACATTGACGTGAAAGGGACACATCGAGTGGCTGCCACCCGCACAACCCATCCAGGGCTGGGGACAAACTGCAACTGAGGTACGTGCCCTTAGCGGGAACCGAACCCAGGTCTCTGGACTGCAGGCCAACGCTCTAACCACTGAGTCAAACCGGCCAGGGCAGAAATAATATATTCTCTACTGTGCCTCTCCCCATGAATAGCTATTGGGAGGTTCAGCCATACTTGAATCTTCACCAAAGTAAGGCAGGGCTCTAGTATGGAAGTTCCATTCTTGGCTATGAACTGAATTTAACCCCCATTTGGTTTGTGATAGTTTAGCTCATCATAGATCTTAAAGTCCCTGACACCTCCTCACTTAGGAACAAGATGATATGAGATGTCAGGATGCTTTAGGAAACCAAGTGTGCCATCTGAGAGAAGAAAAATATAACTCCAAACAGAGATGAACCGTGCCTACAAGTCAAGGATTTTGAGATGACATGTCTGCAGAAGGCCTGAAAGACTTGCTGGGTAAACTGGAGGGGCAGCTTTAGGAAAAACTGGAAATGGACAATGCCACTTTCTTAGTGTACGGTATGTGTTCTCATTTACTTTTCCCACTAACTGCAAAGTATTCTTTCTGTTTCACAGTGAGAAGTTGAAGCATAGAGAGATAAAGTAACTTGGCTAAGGTTATACAGCTTGTAAAACAGGAGAGCCTAGACTCAAGCCTGTCCCAGTGCCAGAGGTTCAGCACCGCCCTTAGCACCAAACTGCACTCAGTGAGTATATGTACTGAAGGCTCTGTATTGTGGGGAGGAGGAAGTAGTATAATCAGATCTGACGACCTGAAGATGAAAAGTCTAAATAAGAACCTTTAATTGAACTATACCCATGATTGTTTCAAAATGAAGAATTAGTTCTTGATAGCTAGATTATGAAACATGACTGCCAACATAGAAACTTAGAAAAAATTCTTACGTCCATCATAAAATATGATATATTTCTCTTTGCTTTTAAGTTTCCTTTATTATTCTAACCCTCTTAAGTGTGCTGGTATAAATTTTAAAAACTGTATAGTTTCTATTGTTCTTTTTCCTTAAGATTATTTCTTATTTTCAGAAGTGTTCCAAATTCTTGGCTCCAACAGTTCTCCTCTGAGTGAAAGTGTATTTTCATGTTCATAAAGCTAAGTATTTTGAAACAACATTTTACCAATACTTAAAACACTCATTTATCTCTATACATCAAAACATCAATATTCAAAAGTTTTATTTGAATTAACTATTATAGTAACAAGGGCAGATAATTTATTAGAGGTTACAAACTCTGAAACGTTTTCATTTCATACATACAGTTTTAATACAAATTAACTTACTAAAAGACTCATCTATTTACTAACAATTTAAATTCTATTAATTTACTGAACATTTATTACTCTATTTTTATGACATCTTTCCTAATAAGCCTGCAGAAACCAGATTAAACTCTTTTTGATTCCAGTTATTACCAGAGCAATACCACCCCATTAGCTAAAATGACACATACTGGATAATTCCAGGTAAAATATAATCTCATATATGACAACCAAAACATGTTCTAACTTCCCCAAATTAGAAACTTTATTATGAATTGCATAAAGAATACTCTGTCATATTTTACATGCTTTATGAAATGTAGCTATTATGTTGGACATGGGCTATACCTTGATGAAATGTGATAAAACCTGTGTTTATATAAAACTTAGCTATCATCTAAATTGTATTTTTAAAAATGTATCAAAAGGTATTATAGTCTTTGCTAACTTGGAAGGCCAAGTACAGCTATATCTCTATTCTATGTTTTAAATGATTTAATCAGAACTCTTTAAATTCAAGCTACACAGTCCCATAGTTAGCAAGGCACGATGCTCACTTTTTAAGTATTTTTTTGCACAGCAGACTATGACTATGACACTGATGTATGTATTATAAATAATATAGGTTTTTTGATTATCTAAAAAAAATCACTAAGTAAATGAATTTAGGAAGGTTTTCATAAAGCAAAGAATCTTCAGTCCTGGGAAACTGAAATAACTGGACTAACTTTATATTTAAATTTCTATAAAACTTATTTTATGGAAACTCCCTACATTTTTAGAAAGCAAAACTTTTTAGTTCTGAGTTTAATTTAATTTATAACTCATTACTGGATTGCATTTAAATAAATCAAGTTACAACGTGTAAGAAGCCTATTTTGGTACTTATAGACAAAAAACTAAGTACTAAAATGAAGTACTGAAAATATGTATGGTTAATTGTATGAAAGCTGATGGTTGGATTGTCACACCATTTTAGGATTTGGAAGGAGTATTTTTTTTTGCTAAATATAAAGGAAATATTTTAACATTCATTATGATATTGTCTGACCTAGTATAAAAATTTTTAGTTAATAATTGACCTTCAAAATAGAAATTTTTTCTTATTAAAATGTCCACATTAAGTCAACGTCTAGAAGGTAGTTAATTTATAAAAAATTTTAAATAAAACGTTTTTGGATGTAACTGATGTCATTAAATTAGTTTTCTAGCCTAAGGAGAGTATATAGCACTTCTTCCTTTTTCCATAATTCATGGAGACCATCTAAAAGTGGAGCTCTCAGTTCTGGGGCACAAAAACCAGGATAAATGTTTAACTGTGTGTCCCTAAGTGTAAAAATTTGAAAGTTAACCTGATCTCAGACAGAAAAACAAAGGAAAGATGGTGAAAACTTACTGCTTAACATTGAGTAGTAAGAAGGGCACTAGCCAAGTTCAACTAAGTTATCAGAACTCATCATTGATACGTTTGTAGAGGTAGATGTTTTTTAAATATTCAATATGTGAAGGTAGGAAAGTCTGAACTCAAAAGTTTTAAATAAGTCATTCTCTAAAGACAGACACATAGCTAGGGCACAGGCCTAAAAATCTATTGGTAAACATAGGATTGTTGCTGAGTTTATTTTCATTTTTCCTTTGGCATAGACATTAGGATATTAAATTTATTATTTTAATTGAAAACTGTTCTCACAAACAGTTGGGTTTAACCTGAATAAAATAATCCCACAAATTAAGACCTGAATGGAAGATAAAAAGGAATACTTGACTGTGTCACTATGTTAAAGGGAGAAATATGTGTTGAATCTGACATGATATATACAGTGAATGCTTATACTTGCTAAAATGCTGTAAGAACCCTTATATTTCTTGTATGAATGACAAAAGAGGGCCAGAAATATATATGGAGATATCTTAAGTACATTTAAGAATAGTGTCAACTTTGTCCATAGTAACTGGTATAAAATAAATGGTCATAATATGACAAATTTCCATATATTATATACAAATTATTTTTAAATGTATTAATGCCTATCAAAATTTCTAATGTAAACCTATAGTTTATAAAAATCATTTAATATAGGAAAAATATACACTAACCTAAATACAGTGAAACCAAAATAATGTAGAAGCTAGAATCTTTTACATATTATCTCTAGAATCTTTTACATATTATCTCCCTAACTAGATAGTGTTTTTTTGAATTTTCCATATTACAACAAATGGCCTGTTGCTATGCATATTCTGAAACATCTGGAATACAACTGAAAAATCCAAACACCAAAGATGTTTTTAAGTAGTTGTTTTTGACATTATCATGTTGCTAAAATAGCCAGATGATGACTGAATTTTTAAACTTTATCAAAATATTTGTTTAATAGATATCCTTTGTTCTATTTGTTACAGTTTACAAGTCTGTTACTTAAGTGTGTGTGAAGTAATAAAGGAAACCATGATTTTATCCTGCACCTCCAATGTTCTGCCTAAGATTTCTTTATTAACTCCTTTAAAAAAGCAAAAATATTTAACCTTAAGCGCATCCAAAACCCTCGTATTTGTTACTGGACCACACATCAGTGACTAATAATTTTTACTTATAAAACAAAAACTTTTGAAATTTTATTGTGGAATTTATTAGTCTATTTACATTTTTAAAACTCAGAATAATTAATGGGATCCTTATATGCTAGTATTATGTTCATATGGCCTACTGGTCTTATGAAACAATTTGACTGGCAAATAGGTTCATTAGTTTTAAAAGAAACACCCTATTTGACTCACAGGAAATAGGTCTATGTCCTATTATTTCTGCTGACATTTGGGGATTAACCAGGAGAGGGAAGAAATAGATTTATTAGGGTGATGCCAATAGTTATGGCTTTCTCCCTTCTGTTCTAAAATTAGGAAGTCAGTGAAAGAACTGCAAATGAATGTAAGAAGGATTTTTTTTATATTGATAAAAAGTGTTATAGTGATAACACTTTTGATTTGCCCTGTAACTTGAACAATGGCTTTTCCTCCCTACCTTTTTCCCAATTTTATAATAAGACTTGGTTTTAGAATCAGAATTTAAAGTTTTCCTTTGGCATAAGAATTGTTTTGCTTTTTATGAAAACAGTTAATTGTCCTTTAAGAATTAGTAACATATAATTAAATATATTGGTAACATATAAAAAGAAAAAGTCAAAAGATTAAGGCATTCAAAGCACACTAAAATACAGTGGAATATTAGCCAATGTTATGGGATCATGTCAGAGGTGAGCCCTTTTATTTAAACAATTCTATTAGGTGATCCATAGTATATAAAATTTGATACCAAATGGCTTATGTTATAGGAAGGCTGCAGTATTATCTCACATTTTAGAGAAAAGTTTTAATATAGTCATAATAATAACATGAGAAGGCAAGAATACTGATCATGTTGATGGTATTTCTAATATTTGAAAAATGTTATCAAAAAGTAAAAATACTATGCAAATTTTGAAAACCATTGCAGAAGCAAAATAAAGAGTAGCAGTAACAACAAAAAAAATTAGACAAAAGCACGTTAAATGACAAAATACCAAAGTAGCAGAACTGAATTATTAAGATTAAATATATGCTAAAAAGCATTAAAGTATTAAAAATATCTATGACAATTAAAAATAATTCTTACCTTAAATATTAAAATAGCAACACCTCCCCAAAAATGAAATAAAATAGCAACAAATATGAAACATAACTTAAAACACTGAGAAGAAATAACACAAAGCAGAGAAAATGAAAGACACCTCACTATTCTCATTGTGATTATTATTTATGGAATGGATAAAACATGTAGAAAATGTCATTACAGTTAGATTAACACATTAAAAAAACCAACATGCCACATCTACCTAAATAATTTTGTAGAACAGCTGAAAAAGCAAATTTCATCAAATTTAGAGAGTTTATAGTGGAATAAATAAGTATGGCGAGGTATTAACTAACCCTAAGTTTCATAACGGGCAGCTTCTAGCCGGTTTGTTGAAGCTGGATCTCGGTCACACAAGGATCATTGGACAAGAAATCAGTTGAGCTGGACTAGAGCTGCCCATTTGTCTTAATAATGAATGCTCCACACTGTCTGTTAAGAGAAAGAAAATATAGATCAGAAAGACTGCATGGGAAACAGTAAGTATGTTAGAGTAGATGAGTATAGGACATCAGTGAACATTTAGCAAATACTTACAGAACATGTGATATTAATTCTAATAGTGTGTTATGAAGTGAGAAGCTAGAGATTAGGAGAGGGCCAGAACTCAGGAAAGGCTTTGCTCACTGCTGAGAGCTTACAATCTATTTTACTTACTTGATTTTTAGAGTATGTTTATTAAAACTGGGGACAAGGAAACAAAGAAGGGCTTAGGATAGAAGAAGCAACAGGAGAGAGCCTAGGTGGGGCTGCTC